TTATCCAAAGAATGTATGGTTTTCGGTTATGCCCCCTCTCAAAAAAGTGGTAAATGTCTAGGTATTTCTACTAATAGCATCTACATCTCATTATGTTATCTTTAATGAACGCATGTTTCCCTTTTAGTGAAAACATATTTCTTCTTCACATAATATCTCGCTTGCTTCCTCTCTACCTCCCCTTTTATTGGTTCCCTCCACTGCTATTTTTTAACTCAATTGTCTCACCTCTCTCCCAACCGAATTGCATCCCATTCGCCCAGGCATCCCTTCTGTGCCCCTGTAGATACCAAATTGCATTTCTCACTAGCTTGTGACACTCAACCTGCTCTCATCTCTACTGAATTGTCTCAACCAATAAATTGTGAGCCTCCCCTTACACCCTTTTACCTCCTTTTTCCTCACATTCCATGCTCACTAGAACTAAAATTGTAAGCATTAAACCTTGCCAAATTCTCAATCTTAATCATCAAATAACTAATGATCCCACTACTCACTCTATGGATATTAAACATGAACATTGGAGAAATGCTATGTGTTCTGAATTTCAAGCTTTATAAGATTAAGGGACATGGGAATTGGTACCTCCCACGTCCCAGTATAATATTCTTGGTTGAAGGTGGACCTTCAAGTCTAAACATAATTCTAACAGAACAGTGGCTTGGTATAAGGCTCGACTTATGGCTCAGGCGTTTAAAGAATAAGAAGGCAAAGACTAACTTGAAACCTTCAGCCCGATTGCCAAAATTACTACGATCAGGGTCTTCCTCACCATAACGGTTACCTACAAATGGCAAATCCTTCAACTTGATTTATCCAATGTATTTCATCATGGAGATCCATATAAGACCATCTATATGCAGCAAGCTCAAGGCTTTTTCGATCAACTTCATCCCACTTACATTTGCAAACTCAAAAAAGTCAATTATGCATCATACCCTCACGACATATCTTCAGTTTCTCCACTTTCATGTTAGCTCAGTCGATTTGTCTCTCTACGACTACCAATACAGCAATATTCATATCTATATTCTAATATATGTGGATGACAATTTAATAATCGAAATGACTCTCAAACCATTGATATTATTCTTCAAGCGTACACACCAAATTTAAAATGAAAACTTTGGAACCCATCTCCGAGTTTCTTGGTATCCAAGCTACTCATACTACCTATGGTTTATATCTCAATCAAGCAAATTACACTCAACAAATTCTCCATATTCAGGAATGGCAAATTCTAAACCTATACCTATACCATAAAGTCTTCTGATCTCTCTAATCATACTCTCCTTCATGATCCTTTTTTTTATTGTAAACTAATTGATTCTTTACAGTACTTGACTCTCACGCAACATGATATAACTTATGTGGTTAATCACTCTTGTCAAACAATACATCAACCAACTCATAACAGCTTTCAGCAGTTGAGGTGTACCCTTCGTTATTTACAAGGCTCTGTTTCTCTTGGCTTACCAATCATCCAAGGGTCATTCGAACTCACCGCTTTTGTTGATGTTGATTAGGTTGGTGATCCTACTAATCGAAAATCGACTACAAGCTTCTGCATATTTCTTGGATCTACACTTGTTTCCTGGACAGTTAAAAATCAAGCTTCCATTGCTCGGTCCTCTACTGAAACTGAATATAAAGCTTTAGCCACAACGGCGACTGAGATTGTCTGGCTATGACGTCTACTTCAAGATTTTCAAATTACTCTTGCTGCTCCTAAACTTCTTTACTGTGACAATACCTCAGCCATTGTACTTGCCAATAATTCAGTATTCCACGCTCGCGCCAAGCAAAAAAAGATTGATCGTCACTATATCCGAGAATGCATCAAAAACAAAGTTCTAATGGTTCATTACGTCAACATTAATGATCAATTTGCATATCTCTTTACCAAATCTGTTCCCACTTCAAGGTTCAAGTCTCTTCATAGCAAATTGACAATCGTTGACAAAGATGATCAATTTGAAGGGGGGTGTTGATGTACCTATTTAGTGTTTTGGTTCGATTCAATCGGACATTGAACCAGTCTGGTTTATTTTGTTGTTGCATAGTGTGGTTTGGTCTTTTCCTTTCTTACATGCTGTAATCTAAAACTAGGGCTGGCTTTGTACATTTTAGGATAGTATAACATTGAATTGTTTCATTCTTCCACTGCTACGGCTTCTCTTTTATTTGCTTTTAAGATGGTATCCATTTTTTATTAGAATAAAATATGTTATGAGCAAAAATTAGATAGAAATAATGCTTAAAATCAGACTAAGTTGATACTGAAATATATTCTTTTACCTAAATTTCAAATAGAATACATTAAAAATCAAAGCGGGTTCGACACTGGAAAATTTTGGTTTTGTGTGAGTGTGGATGTTAAGGCGATAGTTTAGATCATCTTCATTCAGACTTAAGAAAATGGTTTTTTTCCCTAAAAAAATGTTTTTTTTTTTGGCTCAAATCAAAATCAATGGGATTACTCACAAGACATAAGGCTCAAATTGAACAGGAATAGAACAAATCAACATATTTGAGATCGGATTTAAATGTATATAGATAAATGCATGAATATCTTTGAGATCGGATTTAAATCTATATAGATAAATGCATGAATGGGAGTATACAGGTATTCATGCATGTACTTACATTCTGAATCATGCATATATGCAATTATGTGCTCATAAGGTGTGTCTCTAGATATATTGATGCATGTGCATATGTTGAACTAAGCATTTTGTATAGAAAATTAAGGAATGACTAAATTGAATTAATTCTTGACTCAGACCAAGCATGAAATAAATCTAATTTACAAGGTATGGTTCAAATCAAGATTAGGTCCAGACAACCTAGTGAGCTGATTTTAGAATGGTGTTAGATTGGATCATTAAATAAATATCTTAGGAACAGTTTTATTCTTCAATATGACAGAAATAACGAAAAAAATATAGTCAAACCTTTCTGAAAAATGAAATTGTGACAACACATGAATTAGTTGTATGCTGATAGCTGAGATGATTAACAACATCTGATGAAGCAAAAAAGGTAGTAGCTTCAACTTGACATGGAATGAAAGTTGAAGAATTGAAAAATTCATAAAGACATGGAATTTTGCAACCAATATGAATTTTTTGGTGTTGTTTTAGTGCTTGTTAACATTTTGTGGTCAATAATGATTCACTTTCTTAAAACAAACTTGTTCCAAACTCAAAAGAGCTGGGAGATTGCTCTCTTTTGTATGGATCGATGGTTTAGTAGGCTTGATAATTGAGTTTTATGCTTATCGTGAGTATAGAATATCAAACAAAATCTTTATATAGACATTGTGATTTTTATGTTTTGGCTTACTCCTAATTTTATTGGGTCCAAAATCTTGCATTTTTCTCTGATGGACCAGTTGTTGCTCCACGCTACGCGCTTCCAGTGAAATGTCAACTAATGCAGAGCATATTCAAAACTATGATTATAGTATTCAAGGACACAATTATTTACTCTTGTTCTTTTGGGTAAAAGAGACCTTATGATGTATTTTCATTTTTGCAATGTTGGGAGTCACTCATTCCTATTAAGTCTCCTAATGTAGTTTTTTGGGAAATTATCATTTACATGGCAGTGCCTTGGCATCCCCCGCACATCTTGTTGTGGGAAGCATGAAACCATCTACTTCCTTTTTTCGTAGTTATATCAAGAAGTGGTAGAGGTGAAGAGCTAAGTGTCAATGGAGTTTAAGTTATCCAGCCACCATATTGAAAAATTAAGTGTGAATAGATTTTGAGTTGGTTTCCATTGATCTTAAAAAATGAACAAGAAAAGATCTTAAATTAGATAGCCACCGATCATTAAAATTAAACAGAATACTTATCTAAGAAAACTAACGAAATTTAGATACCATGGTTCATCTCTACATCAAACAATAAACTAAATTACAAAAATATACTTCACACACATGCCTCATGCCTATAAATAACCCTCAAAGAAAAAGTTAACAAACTCTCACTTTTTCTGGCAGGAAACTCTATTGAATAGGTTTCAGTACGTACTTAGCTTTAAGCTTTATTGCTAATTAAACGATGAAAAGGCATAATAAAGGTGAGAAACTGCCATAACATTTTGTTTCTTAGCTGCATGTATGCATAACAAGAGCATGAACTAATGGAGAACTACTTGGAGAAGCTTGATCAGCCCAAATTGGTTACAGAGCATGCAGAAAAGTTAAGAAACAATCAAGAATGCCGTTAAAAAAGAAAACAAAATAAAACAAGCACCAGCAAGTATGATCAAATTACAATCCTGATGCAAGAGGAATGTAAAAACCAGTAGATATAATATTCTAGTAAAACTCTGCAACAAGTATTGCCAAGTTTTTTTTTTTCCCCTCTTCAAAATGTACTGAAGAGAGACAAGATTCCTAGTCAAATTAGCAGGAAGATGACAAGAACAAAGTTCAAAATAACATAGGAGCGGTTAGAGCAGTTGCCTAAGTGATTGAAGTTTTTGTTCCTGTTGTTGTTACACTAATTTTGCTAATATTTGCATTTGGTTCTCACAAATTATTCTAAAAAAAACAGAGCATATGACAGAAAAATTAAGGGGTATATCGTAACGGTTTTAGGTAAAATTTAACTCAAATCTTGGCAGACATAAAAATGGTAATTTTAAATCTAGGATTTAGTAAATCCAGTTACTTCTCAACTCCTTAATTTTTCCATAAATCTCAAATTTATTAAATTTTGTTGTTGACAGTACTTAATATATTCAAATTTATAGAATTTAATAAAACTGCAAATGCGTTTAAAATTAAACCCTTAAATAAGACATTCCGGGGTAAAACAAAAGGCGGCCACGGCAACCTCAGATAATCACAAGAGGACAATAAGCAATAAATACAAAAGTCACCCAATCAACAAAGTGAAGAATACTAGAAGACAAAGCAGAGAAATAACAGAGATTTAGCAGCAACCAAACAAAGATGAGTATCAAAGACTTTCCCTTTACCAACCAACCTCATGATCCTAGCCCAGTACATTTTTAGCAGATTATCTTGTCGCGTGCGATGTGAAAGAAGCAGGAAGACCGCTACCTTCAAACTTTGAACTCTCTGGAGAAAGAAAGCATTCGAGAAAGAAAGAAACGCCCTAACCTCGCATATCTGTTGTTGTTCGCCTGAAGAGAACAATAGATGCTGGGACTGAAGAATAAGAAGCGATACGGAGCAGGAAAACTGGAGAGATAAAAAAGGTAAACAAGTACTGCTACTCCCAAACGAGCAGGCATCCATTGCTATGAAAATAAAGCAGCAATTTACGAGAAGAAACCAGCTTTCCTGGTGCAAAAAGACTACACAAAATGTAGTAAAAGCGATTATCCCTGCTACGCCTCTCATAGGACGGCGGCAAATAAACATGGCGGAAATCCTCCGAGAATCCCGATAACTAGGAGCCTCGATTGGAAGTTTTTATTAGCTGAGGTCTGGGTTGGCATACCGCTTTTCCAAGCCAAATAAAAAAACACATTTATAACGAAGAGTAAAGCACAGAGCGAGATATTAAAATAATACAACTATTCCCAAGAAGAACCACTGCCATCAATGAGGCAACGTTCGTGCTCCTTTCATTTCTCCAGAATGCTATAACGAAACAACATTAAAAACCCTTGAAACCAAAAATTGGATTACCGAAGAATCGCCAACCCACAGTAGTTGAATCCACAAGTAAATTCCAACGAGGAAAACTAAAGCACACGAAGAAGATGATCCATGACTGAACAATGAGAAAAGCGAGGGAAACCACAAATTCAGAAACGTACAGAAAGATGATCACGACGTGCAGATTGAACTCAAAGAAACCAGCAAACTGATGAAAAATAAAAAAGAATCAAGAAAGAGAGAAAAACTACCTTGCGCAGCTGCCTGACTTGATCTTAGAGTCCAACAAACAGTGAAAGAGAACCGAATGCGAGGGAGGAAGAGGAGAGTTCTTTCGCTACTGATAAGAAGACATCTCTGCAGTCTAACTCCCACTTCTAATCCATTGCTCTTCGTACACTCACGGAGGTTGCGTGCTGGAAGCAAAGAGATTACAGTACCGAAAAAACCAAAAATGGCTGTTACGATTGAGGCTTCTTTTTCCTCCTCTTTCCCCCATTGTCATCTGCTCTGCTGCAACTGCAGTCGGCTCCTCCAGAACAACTTTCCACTTTCAGCAAAATGGTTATAATGGCTGCAAGTTCTTTCATTCGTAACTCAAAATTTTCAAATTATATTGCAAATATTATCATTTCATTTTGCAGAAATTTAATTATGTAACACCCGGAAAAATATTAACGTGGAGCTATGCTCATTATTTATGTATTATTTCATATTATTTAGGTGTTGGTATTGATGCTTTAATGTGTTATTATAACACAGAGTCGCATTATTCAGGTGTTATTGTGGTGGTATTGATGTTTTAATGTGTTATTATAACACAGAGCAAAATAACATATGAATATCACCACAATAACATCTGAATAATGCAGAATAACACGGAGAGAATATTTCTCTGCGCTAAAATGATTTTCTTTTTATTTTTCTATCATCTTCACCTGACGTCATTTCATTGGACTCGATAAATAGCTCTACATTAAAAATCTTGATGTAATATTTTTCCGTAACACCCAATTAAAATGAAATTTTTGCACGGGTCATAATTGTTTTGGAACTCGAAATTGTTGGGAACCTGTAAACTGAAATGGACATGTTTTCCTTGAAAAAAAACATGCTTTTTTTATTTTTAATTTATCATTAATAAATATCATTTTTAATAATTCTTTAATATAGCTGATAGAAAAAAAATTTGCGAATTAAATATTTTATTTTGCTTATTTTAAAATAAATTTAATAAATTTGGGATTATTAATGAGAAAAAAAAATTGACTTAATATTCTTATTAAATGTCCTTTTAATATTATTATTATCTTTACTGCTATTGTTGAAATGCATCTTTTTAAATTAAGATGTAAAAAAATGAAAAAAGATGGCTTAGATAAAAATTACAATTTAATTTATTAATGTAGTTAAATTTAAAATAAAATAATTTTTTTATTTAAATGGTTATATATTATTATCTATTTTAAAAAAGTACTTTCATATCGAAATCTAATTCACGAACTAAAGGACGAGCAAATTTCGAACCGAACGGATAAAAAATATAAAAAACCTACCACATATGCATCTATAATTTTATTTAGCAATCTCACTAAACAAAATTTTATATTTTAAGTTATTTAGAAACTAAAAAAGAAAATCGGCCCAATCTCGAGCCAGTTCGAGTTAGATACATACATAGCCCGAAATCATCAATGAAAAATTTTGATTAATGGTTTCGGCTCATAGCTAACTATATGAGATTTTCAGGTGAGTGAAAATCGACAAGTTAAATTCTCAACCTTATCTTAAAGATAGGATTTTTGAGTTAAATTCAAATATTAAAAAAAAACAATGGTAGGGGAATATTGGAATCCACAGAATAATTATTATAGTTTTGATGCGTGATAGAAAATTCGTGGTGGTAGAGTAATGGACTATCGTCTTGGCGCTGCATGAGAATTCAGCACAGACTCAGGTGAAAGATAATAATTAGTAATGACACCAGAAATCCTTACGTGGGAAAACTCGTAATGACAAAAAAATCACGGGGTCTGACCCAGCTGTAAAAATTCACTCTATGCTGATGATTACAAAAATCCCTTGTTTCACGGACGGGAAAGGGTTACTAGATTTTCCAATTTACAAAAACTCAATTGTAAAAATCCACCCTGGTTGGTGATTATCAATGGTGGTTGGTAGTTGTCAGCAGTGATCGATAGAGACTGACGATGATCGGCGAGTGTCGGCGGCGGTCAATAGTGGTCAGCGGCGTTCGGCTAGTGTCGATGACGGTCGGAGGTAGTCGGCGGCTGCACAAAGGTCAGCAGTGGTCGACAGCAGAGGTTGTAGTCGACGGTTGTCGGTTATGGTCAACAACTGCCAGCAGCGATCGATGATGATTGGGATGGTGCTTGACTTCAGCTCCTTCTCAAATCTTCAAGTTCTCTCTCGAGTCTCAAGCTCTCCACACATAAAAGGGCTTTGCTCCCTTGTTCGATACTCAATCTACAGAATGCCTGGGTTTCTCCTTCCAAAAAATCTCTTCTGCTTTCCCCATCTATTCCCTCTCATTTGGCACGATAAAGCTGGGGGTACTTCCCCATTCTTCCTCATCCTCCCCACGTACTCTCCCCATCTTCTCTTTTCTTGCTTCCCTTCTTCTCAGTCGAGGTGGAACGACCCTAAGGGGAAAAAAAACAGTGAGGCAGGTAACCTTCTCCTTCTTCTCCTATCTCCTTCTTCACTCATAACCAAGCCTTCTAACTTCTGTAAACCAATCTTTCTAAATCCTGAGCGCCCTAATGCATTTGGTTGATTATCATGCATTCCTTTCAAGAAGTGCAAGATGATTTTTGATGAAGTTGCATGTTTGAAATATTTGCCATGAATGAAAATTTATCATATTTTCTAAAGCTTATCATTGTGATAATACCAACCGTAGCAAAGCCTTGTAGATAACGATATATTGGGGTATTTATTAAACTTGGTCAACAATGTAGTTGGCAGTTAAAGTACCTTCTCAATGCTGGATAACAAGACTTGATGAAAAACTATGTTTGATATTGAAATGTTGTGCTTTGGTGTTTAAATGACTGCTGATACAACAAATTCAACTTTAATTTGGTAAAGCATAGCATGATCGGGTGAATGGTTGTCCATTTGTAAATTCCTCTTCTTGCTTAAATGACAGAGACTTGGTTCAAGGGAATGGCGAAAAGCGTCAAGGAGCACGTGATGAAGTCGGAAGCCACTAATGTGGAGTCATCCCAAGGGCAAGGTCGCCAGGAGCAAAGGGACCCTGTAACACCCAAGCTACATGGAAGGTCTAAGGAGATCATGCATGGCTTTGATTCACGCCTTGCTCGGATGTAGGAGAAAATGAATGACATGGAGGGTCAAGTAGAGGACCTTAGTCAAAGGGTTGATGGACTAAAGGAGGAGGATGTCACTTCAAGTAGAGGACCTTAGTCAAAGGGTTGATGGACTCAAGGAGGAGGATGTCACTATCAATTCAACAATCAGAGGTATGATGCTCCAACTTGATGAGACTTTAATGGGTTAAGTGGCTAAGTTGCAGAAGGATTTTATGGGGAAGCTCCAAGAGGTGCGAAGTACCTATAAGGAAGAGATGAGTGACATACGTGCTAGCTTGGAAGAGATGCGTGGGGACATTTCGTTGTGTAAGAGGGCACTAGCGACACCCACCAACCATCAAACCTTCGAATCTAAGAGGATTGAGGTGCCAAAACCAAAGAGTTTTGGAGGAACTCGAACTTGTAGGGAAGCATTTATCAAACATCGTGCGGACTGCAGTGGGTCGATAAAATTTTGCACTTTCAGATAAAAAAGATTATTGAAATTAAAGACTTGTTTCTATATGTTAAGAAAAAAAGTTAATGTTTGTGCATGGAAAGATAAAAAATCTAATTTCAATGAACACTTGTTCTGGGGAATACACAAATCATAAGAAATGATTTATTTATCTAACACTAGTTGAATTTCCATAGGAATTTATGTACATATTTGATCTATTGCAGCATGCCTAAGTAGAAAATGTTATCATATGAGGGCAATTCATAAATTTTCTTATGTCTCAGGTCTATATATTTTACCATGTATGGTTCTATTTTAATATTCTATTAAACCTAAATAAGAAAATGCAATCAAAGTATAGTAACAGATCTTTGAACTATTGTACTTCTTAACTCATGTGATATGTGCAATTGATATTTGGCTGATTTGCATGCACACCACTCAATTCTTATGTATTTATATATCTTAACACTTAAAATTCAATTTTTACATATGTGTCATCTTGCAAATGCATGAAAGGTGTATTTCACTTTTTGAAAGTTAAAATGGCGGTCTTTTTGTTGTGAAATGAAAGATTTGGGTGGCATAAATATAAGAAGTAAAAGGTTAATTGTTGAATATGTAAGAACATGAGAATGGGGTGGACCATTTACATACTTATTTTAAATATTTAAAATTGGGAAACTTAGTACATTTCACACAATTCTTACATATTTGCATGTGTAACATTCAAATTCTAACATATACATACATACCACCCAATTCCTAAGTATATATGTGCCTCACTCCTAAACTTTCATATTTACATGCATACCATTCTAATCTTTACAATCACATAAAAATAATATCACTACTAGTAACTTTTTAGGAGTGAAGTACACCTTTACATGCATAGGTTCGTGACATCAAACTATTATAATTATGAATATAAACTTTATAACTTAATATGTAAACACATAGAAATTATGTAGTATGTATGCAAATCCTCTTAGTTTTCTCACATAATTACCTTGGTACTAGTTGGGGAAATGTTCATATTTGATTGGAAATACTCAAAATGAGGCGGTTTTGTACGAATCATCCAGGTGGTTTATAAGTTGGAAGGGTTGGTAAAATGGGCAATGATTTAAAACACCCATTGCTAAGTCTGTGCTAATAGAGTTGTACTATGTCTCCTAACCAAATGAATTTGTGAGGGTTCTGGGCTGCTATTACTATTCGCCAATATTCGGTGTGAAGTTGCCCTCACTTTCTTAAGCTGTTGATAGCTCTGGTCCAACAATCTGAATGACCGACGGACTGTTTGATTTATAAAATATATAATAATAAAACAAATTATTTTGTGGTGTTAATTTTTTAGTTGTTGACAACTCTAATAAAAACTTAGTTTACTTATGTGCATGACAAATCGAGAATTTTGGGTGTTACTTTTGTATGTCTGCGGGTTAATCACTTTGATTAGGACTAACAGTTGCCCTTCATCGATTGCCTTGCTGGTAGCTTCCATCTAGAATTGGCCTTATGCGCATTGATGCTTTGGATTGCTTATTAAAAAGGAAGCCTTTGAGAGAAAGATTATTATGGCCAAAGGCCTAAGATGAGCCCATCCCCAACTCAAAAAATACTTATACCCAATTCTGAGCTTTCATATATCTACCATCTAATTTTATCTTATGTTTTAATATTTTTAAATTTCAAAATATTCAACGCTTGTTTAATTCTTATATAT